TGACTACATGTGCACAAACGAGGGATGCTGGCAATTTAACATTTATAATTTTTATTATTTTTATATAATCTAAATTCTTTTTCTTTGTTATCCCGCAAAAAGAATTGGCTAGATTTTATGAAAAAGGATAAAAAAAAAAAAAAAATTAAACTCCCAGCATCCCTCATTTGTGCACATGTGTAGTTGCACCAACATAACAAATTTAGTCTCGATGACATCCTAAAGGGTGAAACATGTTGCATGAAATATTTTTCCATTTTGTTCCAATATCTATTTATATATGATAAATGCGAATGCCAGAGTGTCACATGTTTTCAAATTTACTCCTATCATACAATTTTAGAACCAGGACGGCTCTGAGAGCAAATTAAAACCAGTCTGGGCTGGATCAGGAACTACAATCCTGAAATTTTGGATTCCCAAGTTTTCATTACTGTGATTGCTTCTGGCCGTTTTTCTTTCTTTTTTTTTTTTTTTTTTGTAACCAATTTTTTTTACAATAACTATTTTTATTACTTGGAAATAAATTTACGAATGATCAAAATTAATTGCAAAATCCGGCAAAAGTCACCCATGAAATAAAAATAATTGATTGTATAGAAAGTAAGGACCTACGTACATCAAATTGTCTTTAAATTAAGTGGCAGCAGCAGAATTGTTGTTTAACTTTTAAAAGGTAAGATTAGGTATTAATGCAATACTCAAATTTAGTGATTAATTTTGAGTTCTTCTGTAGTTTATTGTTGCCTATCACATCTACTCCTCCCTACCTATTGTTATGAAGACCCAATCAAGAGCCTTCTGCAGGAGCTAGCTTAAACGTTTTTTGTTTTTTTTAAGCATTACGCCCCGAGCAAGGCGTGAAGCCACTAGGATGCAGGGGGTTGCAGAAGATTTGGAGCAAGAGCAGATAGGAGTGATAGAAGAAAGGATGAGGAGAGGGATAGTGGGTAGATCAAGGTAACTGGAGGTGTCGATTGACATTACATTTGAGTAGTTGGAGATTATAGCTCTCAGGGAAACAGTAATTAGGAAGGGTGTTCCACAGGCGAGAGGTGCAAGGTATGAAGCTATTGGAGTAGAAGAGACAGCTACATTTAAAAGTTTCTACAGTGTAAGGGTGGGAGCTGGATGCCAGCCTCATAGGGCGCTTGAATTCATGGAGTCTGGGAACCAGTGAAAGCAGCTCATCGGAGCAATTACCATGAAAGTATTTGTAGAAAAGACAGAGAGAGGCAACGGCATGTCTGTGAGAGAGTGACTGTAGACCAGATGCCAGATCAGGGCCAATTATATTACATATCATTTGATAATGTGTCTTTTAAGCTAGTATATATCTCAGAACAATGTTGGGTAACTGAATGACAAAGTGGAAAAAATTCTATGTAATGTGTTTCTTCCTCTAAAAGAACTTAATTAAAGTAATGTTTTTATTGATGAAATTATATGTATATATGCGTCTGATGATATGTGTTTTTTTAGTGACCAGGTAAAAATTGTTACAAGGTCAGGAAGTTTTTATTCATCTGCCGTATTCAGTATGCATTGCACCTTTGGATTACATTTTAGTATTTTTTTAGAATTCTTTTGAGAAAAAAAAGGTGTCAATTTCCTGGAGGTGTGCAAAAGGCACTTAAGGCCTTTCTTTGCCGAGAAAGTTAAAATGTTCTGATAGGAGAAGATTATAAAGTGGGTTGAAAGATGCCTAAAGATACGGAAGAAAATGGTAAATAAATCAGTCAATAAAGTTAATATGAAAAATAAACAGGTTTCATTTTCATTTAATGGATCAAACTTTTTTTGGATTACTAATATTATCACTGAAATATGAAAGAAGAAAAAACTTACCAAACTAAATCATTTGTATCCTTTGACATACGCCATGCTATTTCAAACATCAACAAGGCAGCCTTAAAAAAAAAAAAAAAAAAAAAAAAAAAAAAAAAAAAAGAAAAAAAAAAAAAAGAAAAAAGGAAATTAATTCACAAATTAGAGACACTGTATCAGCAAGCTAGAAGAGAGAAAAAAAATAGTAATTAAATATATAATGACTAATTAATGCTTGCTTTAATTTCTGACCATGGACCAGGGATCTTGATGATTGTTGTCCTGGGGTCAATAGAACATTAATTTGAGATGACTAGTCAGGGTTGTTTTTTTCAGGGTTTTTTTTTTTTGGTGGGGGGATGATGATGCTGGAATATTTTGGGGAGGGTGGTACAATGTTTCAATCAAAATTCGATTATATTCATTACTTGCTAAAAAGCCACACTTAGTGCGGACTTTTAAGTTGATATCTTAACTTTTTATTTTGTAACTATTTTAATGGTGTTTTTATTAAGTCACTAAAAAAAAAAAAAAAAATAAAAAAAATAAAGATAAAAAAATAAAAAAAAAAAATGGAAAAATATAACCTCCAAAAAACAGATTTTTTTTCATTTTAATATATGCCATAGTCATTAGAAAATTCTGGAAATTTTAGGTGAAAATTCCTAATTGTTCAAGATATTGCAAGTTGAAATTTTGCTGAATCAGCATTTTCTGTTGACAGACATTTCCATTTACGAACTTTAACAATCTCACTGAAACTGTTATATCTTCTGATCCACTGACCAGAAATTATAGATTTTTAGTCAAGGAATCCAAATAGCTCTTTAGAATTTTACAGGGAGTAACCAGAAAGTAGACAGCAGTTTTCTGGTAAAAATAATGAAAATTTTTAGGCTGCCAACCACACATAAATTGAGAAATATCATCTTCAGCCACAAAAAAAAAATAGCACAAAGTGGCACAACATTTGAAAACTGGAGTATTTGGGAAATAAATCTCAATAAGTTTTATTCAATGCCTCTCAAAGCTACCAATTCTAGACCTCTTTATTCATGTTCATGGCAATTTCACAATTATGATCTAAAAAAAAAAAAAAAAAAAAAAGTTGAAGTCCATAGGTAAAAAAAACATTGCTTTATTCCAATTTTTAATGGATTTTTGAATATGCATTGCAAAAAAAAAAAAAAAAAAAAAATTTATCATTAGCATCCAACTCATCCAGTTTCCTTACAGACTTTGAACATAAATCTGTGATACTCTACAAAATTCTAATATCACATCAATCAGTTATATCTACACTGAAGATCTGCAAATAAAAAAAAAGCTGAATTATCAGGGAGAGAAGAGATAGGATTCATACCTAATCAGAATTTGTTAAACAAGAAATTATAATGTAGATATAAAGTTGGGGATGAATTCCATATTACAAGCAATATAGAAACTGATCCCTCACTTTGTAGTCACGGTAGTTTCTATAGTGTTATACTGCAAAGAATGTAAATAAATCTAAAAAGTCATGCTTGTGTATGTAGCTAATCAGTATTTTAGTGATTGATTTATTTGTTTTCTATTGCAGGTTATGTAATGCCAGAAAATATGTTTAGATTCATATATATTTTTTTTTGTAGACAATAATGGTTTTAGTGATGAAAGTCTTACTAATTAACCCTTAGTTGGGGAGAGAAGAAGTGGATTAACAACTTTTCCAAGTGTATTTTTATGAAAGTGAATATAACCAACCTGACAGGAATTGAAACTCGGCTCTCTGATTAAAAATCCCAAGCCATTATCCACTACACCATCCACACATCCAAGCTTACAGCATCTGGTATTCCCAAGTGGTCCCCCATCTAGGTACTGACCAGGCTTGATGTCACTTAACTTTGGTAATCATATGTGTTTTAACATGATATGGCTCTAAGCCCTGAATGTTCTGCTCCTGATGAAATATTCTAATAATCAAAATGAACAAAAATATGTAAGCACTAAATCTGGTGAATCTGGATGATGTGGAAGAACCTCCCCTCCTAAAAAAACTTATTTTTTCTAGGTTTTGTTTTGCAGTGTGTGAGCTTGCATTGTCATGCTGGAGCATAATACCTTTTCTGTTTACCAAAGCTGCACATTTTTCATGTAATGTTACATCTACATTGCAGTGATGGTCCTTCCAACTTCCAGTCGTCCATAATAGACAACACCTTTCACATTCCAACAGACACAAAGCAAGTACTCTTCCTGGTTTGGTTAATTATTCCATATTCATCTATGCAATACTATCATAAATGTAAGTACATTTTATAATAATGCATATTTTTATAAATAATGTCTATTGTACGTCTACCTTCACTATCTATCATAAATGTAAGTACATTTTATAATAATGCATATTTTTATAAATAATGTCTATTGTACGTCTACCTTCACTATCTATAATAAATAAAAGTACATTTTATGATAATGCATATTTTTATAAATAATGTCTATTGTACGTCTATCTTTACTTATCTATCATAAATGTAAGTACATTTTATAATAATGCATATTTTTATTTATTTGTAATAATTTTCAACTGATTTTTTTAATCCCAACTAATTTTCAGATTCTACATTATGGTGTGTTGATACTGATGTGACAATAGCCTAATAGGGATTGATTCAGGGAAACTAATCACACAAGGGTGTGGCTAGGCTGAAACCTGGACAGACAAGTCAAAAGATTATACACTTTTCTTCCCTTTAATAAATTGCTCTTTTTATAATTGCTCTCTTTATTGAAATACACTTAAATTAAACATATGTGTCACTACCGGTCAGTGGAAAGATTGTCCGGCATGAAGCTGGTCTGTTGTATGAAAAAGGTTGGAGATCAGTGTCATAAATGATAAATGGTCAGATAAAGAACTAATTCAAGACTCAGTTTTGTACTATTAACCTTGATTGTTTGACACCTGATTCATAATGGTGAAATCTGTAATTACTTTCTGAATAGCTTAATAAATTTATAACAGGTACTGACAGGAAAAATACAAATAAAATCAAACCAAGAACTTACTGAAGATCCAAATGAAGAGAATTGTGTATATTCAAATAATGTTTTGTTCCTGAAATCAGAAAAATATTATTAAATGTGGTTGACATAAATCAAACATCTTTTTTATATAGAATTTTATATTAATTTTACATGAAGCTTTATATGAAAACATTACTAAATATATATTTGACACAATCAAGAGATCTTTTTCTTTTACATTAAAACTCAAATTCATTTAGTCAGGAAATTTCAGCCAAAATTTTGAGGATGAAAAGTTACCACTATTTTTATTATTTGCAATCAGACTAATGTCTGAATCATTGTTTCTATAATAAAAATTTTTCATTCATTGTGTTCGCCTCCAAAAAGGTAGATTTTATCAAAGTTTCTTTGTTACTTTCAAATTAAGCATGTAAATTTACACATAAATATAACTATTCAGGGATTTTTTATTAGATACTTAGCATGGAGCTTAAAAAGCAAATTGCCCGAAGTTGCAACTTATTTCAGTGTTTTACAGTAGATTTTTTATTTAAAAATTTTAGCCGTCTTCAAAATTACTTTATCTTGCAATTCCCGACACCTTATTATTACACACTATTTATATTTGTTTATTTATGAGAGATTCTTGATGTATACTGTTGAACTGTCAAATTGAACAGGATCAACTAGACAAAAGTACTCCTATTTATACCCCATCCCTGGTATCTGATTGCAGTGATTGAATCCCTATTGAATATTCTAATATCATAGCTACTCTTTGATCGCACACAAAATAAAAATATAAAGTAATCATATGTAATCATTACCAATACAATTGGATTAGGTGTGAAACGGCCGAGGTGTTAAAATTTTGCGAAAATTACAGCTGTTTGATCATCAAAATGAAAGTAAAAAGTGTGAAAAAAGGGTGTAATTATTAACACAAATTAGAACCCATCTGATGATCACTGTTTGTTCTATCATGAAGAAGATATCCCAAAAATTGTTAAAATAGGGTGGAATTTCTAAAATGAGTAAGTGATATTGAGGGTACAAGAGCAAAATCTTAGGGTAAACCACCCACCCATCGACAGTATATCATGTACCCGTGGTAAACTGGTTCACCTAATAGCAGTGGACTACTATATATATATATATATATATATAAAGTGAACATAGAAGTCAACACTTAGAGGCGACAGTCTGTTTTATGCTATATGCAATCGTCAGGCCACGTGTGCTGTTATTTTTCTCATTTATATATATATGGGTTAGTGGTGCATTGTGGGTATTCTATTATGGCGGTTATTTTTACGGAAGAAATTTTGTTCATTTATTTGGGTCAAGTTATATTGCTCGTTTTTATTTATTTTTTTATTTTATTTATTTATTTATTTATTTTGTTTCTTATTTTATTTATTTATTTATTAACGTAGTAAAATTTGTTTATATCACGTATTTAACAGTTTTGTTTTGGTTTGAGAATTTAATTAAAGCTATTTGTTCAATTTTGGGGTTGGTTATTTGTAGTTCATTCTAACTATTATTTTTTGGGAACATTTTTTAATTTGGGATTGGTTTGCCTATTTATTTACTTGGATGAATTTAGGTCAATTTATTTTTTATTTTTCTATTTTTTTGGTTTTATTTTTTTAATTTTTTATTTATTTTTTATTTTTTTTATTTATTTATTTATTTATTTTTATTTTTTTTTTTTTTTTTTTTTTTTTTTTTATTATTATTGTATTTGTTTTATTTTATTTTTTTTTTTTTTCATTTTTTAGGTAACTTAGCAAAAAATTTATTTCATGACACCTGCATTTTGAGATGACGCTCGGATCTTTTATTTAATAATTTATTTTGGACAAAACTAGAAAAGCTATTTTTTTTAAAAGCAAAGTTTGCAATTTTTGATTTAAATTTGTAGGCCTAAACTTTTCCTTATCTTCCAAGATATTTTTGGTGTGATGTGCGTTTTTATTTTTTTACAGAAATATGGTATAAAAACAAGCATAGTACTGTTGAATATTTACTGTAATGAGCGATACCAAAATATAATTAACTTCCAGGGTCCTTCAATTACTCCTATGTATACTTTATTTAACAACAAAATAAAAAGTGGCTTGGTATATTCGTTGTTTTGTAGACAATTTCCAGTTTAAAAGACCAACAGGAGAAGTTCTTTATTCTGCAGTTACAGCAAGTGGGTTTAATTTGTTAGGGAATTGTGGTTTGTTCAAAATTTTCCAAAAACTTCCCCAGATTTGTGCCCATACACAAGATATTGCAGCAAAATTTTACTGTATTTTTGTTAAAATATCTTGTGTCAACAGCTGATGAGAGGCATGGCACAAATAAAAAACAATAGGTTTGTTTTCGTTCTTGCTCAAAGTGGGTTGAACCATATGAAATTAAACCCATTCTGTGGTGCAGAATAAAGAACGAATGTCCTTAAACGGAAATTGTTACAAAAAACGAATATACCAAGCTTTTATAAATCACCAGATAAGGAAGAAAAGTATACATAGGAGTAACTGAAGGTTTCGAAGCAAAGAAATTATTTAGACAAAAAATCGATTCACAAATAGTAAATATTTAACAGTACTATGTTTTTCTGTATGTATATCTTGGATTTTAAAAAACAAATCTGACATCACACCAAAAAATATCTTGAAGATAAGGAAAAGGAATTACAATAAAAATCAAAAAACTTGCAATTTGCTTGAGGAAAAATTTATCATTACTTTCCCGACCAAAAATAAATTATTAAATAAAAGATTTTCTCTCAAAATGCAGGCATGAAAATAAATTTTACTTTCTTAAAATGAAAACGAAAAAATAAAATAAAAACAAATACAATAATAATAAAAAAAAAAAATAAAATAAATAAATAAATAAATAAATAAATAAATAAATAAGTACTATGTTGTTTAAAACTGAAAACCAAAAAGAGAAAATATAAAAATAAATTGACCTAAATTCATCCAAGTAAATAAATAGGCAAACCAATCCCAAATTAAAAACTGTTCCGCCAAAAAAATAATAGTTAGAATGAACTACAACAATAACCCTAAAAATTGAACAAATAAAATAAAATAAAAATAAATAAAAAACGAGCAATATAACTTGACCCAAATAAATGAACAAAGCGACTTCGGTAAAAATAACTTATAATAGAATACCCACAATGCACCACTAACCCGTGATATATATAAATAGCTTGAGAAAATAACAGCACACGTGGCCTGACGATTGCATATAGCATGAAACAGACTGTCGCCTCTAAGTGTTGACTTTATGTTCACTTTTATATTTACACACGCCTATCTCTGATATTGAGCACTTTAACCCATAAATATAGCACAATTTTAAGACTATATTTTTATATATATATATATATATATATATATATATATATATATATATATATATATATATATATATAATGAACATTTCTTAGCCATTGGTGATAATTTATTTATGGAATCAAGCAATCTCTTCAGACCCAAAAATTTTATAACAAATATTTGGTCTGACCAGATGAGCATTTGATCCCATGAAATAAATTATCACCAATGGATTTCTAAGGACTCCACTTTCATTATTATATTTGGTCTGTTCTTACATTGTGCCCTCTTTGGATTTATATCCTCCTTGGAATTATCTACTAATTATCAAATAATATTTTCATTATATATATATATATATCTATATATATATATATACACACACACACACACTCACTTTTTGACTGTGATCAGTTTGAATATTTATAAACATTTATTTCATTATATTTAATATTTAATTTAAATTGTTCATCTTTTTTTGTAAGTCAATAAACATTGAAATTATTGACAAGATTGAGTACATTTTTGGGGACAGTCTGTATATATAAAGCACATCCGCTATTAACCTCTCAGGTCATTACAGGGTCGGGGGTAATGAAAAAGGTCCATTCCGACCAAAGATAAAAAGAAAAAGGAAAGAATATTTCTTACCTATTCTCTTCCCACTGTCGTCTTTCACGCCTTTTAAGAATGTATTCATCGCTGTAGCGTTTCCTCTTAGAAAGTTGCTCACCTTCATCGTTACTTTCTGCATCTGACTAGAAGATAAAAGAGAATGACAAAAAGACGAAATATGGTACATATGTGGAGTGGAATCAGAGGGTCTTAATAATATTTATTGAAAACTAGGGAATAAGTGAACAGAATCAAAGAGAGATAAATAATATGTTTATTTAGTTGACTTTTTGTAGAGAGTCTTTTGTTAATCGGGTTGGCTAAAGTTTGTTCAGCTGCGTAATTGTTAGTTTATGTGTCAGACTTTGGTAGGAGTTGGGAGTGTGATTACTTTGGAAACATGTTGTGGACACAAATTTGTTGTCTTGGCCCTCAAAAGAGCAGAAAAATGTCTTAAGCTGAAGACTGCTTAGTTTCTTCACATGACACTCTTGGCTGGGTTTCTCTGGCTGTCTCCTCTACTTCCGTCTGTCTCTTTATATACACTTAAGAAAGGCTCCATGTTCCTTGGTGTAAAGCTTGGTTTTGGCTAACATCAAAAGTTCTTTGTTCTTTTGATTGGCCAAAATTCTTTTATTTTTTTGCGTTTCTTTTTCTCTATAGTGAAACTTATGTGTGGAGCCTCTTTTATTTTGGTAGACTACCAGTCACAATAACTTGACCAGTGACCTTCAGTTTCACCCCAATTGTACAGTCTTTTCTTCTTCCTCTTTTTATATGAGAGTTACCTTCTCATTGGTAGAAAGAGAAAGAGAGAGAATGGTAGAGAAGCATAATGAGAGTGAAGAGTAATGAGAGAGAGAGAGAGTGACGAATAACAAGAGAGCGAAGCGTAATGAGAGAGAGAGAGAGTGAAGAATAACAAGAAGAGCGTAACGTAGAGAGAGAGAGTGAAAGAATAAGAGAGAAAGCGAGAGCTTAACGAGAGAGAGAGAGAGAGAGTGAAGAATAACAAGAGAGCGAAGCGTAACGATAGAGAGAGAGAGTGAAGCGTAACGAGAGAGAGAGAGAGTGAAGAATAACAAGAGAGCGAAGCGTAACGAGAGAGAGAGAGTGAAGAATAACAAGAGACGGGTTTAACGGCAGAGAGAGAGAGTGAAGAATAACAAGAGAGAGAGAGAGAGTGAAGAATAACAAGAGAGAGAAGCGTAACGAGAGAGAGAGAGAGTGAAGAATAACAAGAGAGAGAAGCGTAACGAGAGAGAGTGAAGAATAACAAGAGAGAGAAGCGTAACGAGAGCGAGAGAGTGAAGAATAACGAGAGAGAGAAGCGTAACAAGAGCGAGAGAGTGAAGAATAACGAGAGAGAGAAGCGTAACGAGAGTGAGAGAGTGAAGAATAACAAGAGAGAGAAGCGTAACGAGAGAGAGAGAAGAAAGAGAGAGAGAAGAACGAAGAGACAGAAAGCGAATAAGAGAGAGAGAGAGGGAAGAATAACGAGAGAGAGAAGCGTAACAAGAGAGAGAGAGAGAAGTGTAACGAGAGAGAGAGAAGCGTAACGAGAGAGAGAGAGAGAGAGTGAAGAATAACAAGAGAGAGAGAGAGAGAGTGAAGAATAACAAGAGAGAGAGCGTATCGAGAGAGAGAGAAAATCGAGAGAGAGAAGAGTATCGAGAGAGAGAGAGAGAGAAGAGTATCGAGAGAGAGAGAGAGAGAAGAGTATCGAGAGAGAGAGGGATATGTGATTTTAAGGAAAGCAAATGCTTTCTTTTAATATTTATTTTCATATTTTATTTTTACATTTGTGCTCACCACACGCATTAAGAATTTTCAATTAATATAAAATATGTAAGTGGTATTGTAGTTACCACTGAAGCCTACATACATATGATTACCATTATATTCAGCATTCTGAAGACTTGTTGAATGAAAAATTGCAATAGAAAGCAACACAAAACATTAACATAAAAGGATTTTAAAAATGAATACAGTTCCCCACTGGCATCCAGGAAGGACTGTGTAATGGCTGCCCAGGGATAGTGGGGCAGTATATGACATGCAAGTGTACCAGCTGTTGTATTCTGGTACACTTACATGTCTTTTAGTCTACCAACTGCTGTGTCTACTTACATACATATATAGTAAAATAATAGTAATAATAAAGAATATATTGAGCCAGAGTGTTGTGATAAAATGCAAAATATAATAAGATGGAATAAAAGTAATAATGATAACATGGAAAAGATTTTTATATGATGTGTCGTGTCCTTTATGACATTGTTTTTTGAACTAAAGTGATGTTTATGTTGATGTAACTACACATGTGTACAAAGAAGATGAGATGCTAAACTTTTTAAGTTTTAAATTTAAAAAAAAAAAAAAAAAGTAGTGAAATCAGTAATAAAATAATAGTAATAATTAAGAGTGTACTGACCCTGGGAGTTGTACTAAAAATCATCAATAATAAAATGTAGTAAAAATTAATAAAATAACAGTGAAAATGTTGATTCTTAAAATTGTGATCATTGTATTTCCTTACACGCACCACCACAAAAAAAAAAAAAAAAAATCAAATCAATTACCTCATCATCTTCATCATCTCTAAAAACATCATCATAATCTGGGATGTCTCTCATTTCTTCATCTTTCATTAAAAGCTTGACTTGGACACCATTGTATACATTGTGAACATCCACTGGACGGTGACTATAATAAAAAAAAAAAAAAAAACTTTGAAAGTTAAGAACAAAATTGCTTTAGTAAAAAAAAAAAAAAAAAATTCATTAAACAAACAATCATGTCCTTGATAAACCTATATATATATATATATATATATATAAAGTTCAAAACCATATTCATAAAAAGAACAAAATTTTTCAGGTTTGGTTTTGTATGATTAACAGATATCAACTCTTTATAAGTCATTTAATAAAGAAATTTTATTTTCTGGTAAGAGGTGGTTCCACACTCCTGATCAGAAGCCTTGCTGCCAAATGTAGTTTATTTTCATACCCAGGATGAACAGATTTTTCTGAAAGGTACTTTGGAAATGAGGTAAAAATCTGATACAATAACAATTTTGAACTTATATTTTTTATTTATTTATAAATGAAGCATTGTAAACTATTGAAAGGGAGTCCTTGAATTACAACAGAGTTTTGTTCCTACGATGTGCTGTAATGCAATTTTCTAACACATTCAGTAAAATTCAGAAAAAAAAAACAAAAAACAGTTACATACCCCCTACAGAAAGGTAAGACCACCACACACAAAAGAGGTCACTTTCCAAGTAGATATTTGACAACTTGAGTGGAAACCTTATGAATGTATACTTTTTGACTATAAAGCAAATTGGGCCTATCTTATTTGTGACTTTTTCTTGTATTCAACATTAAATAACTCAACAAAGGTTAATATGCCTTTAAATGACCCACCCCAAATTTTCCTTCCTGTCAAGTTGTAGTTGTTGCAGTTTGTACTTAAGTTGTACTTTTAAATTTTGATTACTTCAAAAAATATTTACACTATTTACATCATTTGGATTGTTGTCATATTTACAATGTTTCAGCCTTCTTCAGGTAATTGGAATTTTGAACCAGTCCCTTTATTTTGTCCACCAGGGTAGATTTTTTCTAGTTCCACATGCCATGCCTCTTCTGGATATCTTGGTTTCAGTTATTTCTCTTCAGTAACTCAACTCTCCAAGTTTCTGTTCACCTCCAGGTATTGAACTCACAACTCTTTGGAAAAGAACTGAAAATGAGATATACCTCATCTCAGAAATTGTTATATACCGTACCGATGAACACTAATGGGTACATCCCAATACTCATAAATATATTGGATACTATTGTAAATAGGGTAATATGCTGTCTAAGTAGTCCACCACTAGTTTACCTACTCCACGCCACTGGTGAGCATTGTATTTTCTTGATGCTATAAAAATCAGTATTTTCATTTCCAACCTCAGTTTTGATTATTCCTCATTCAGTAATCTTTCCTAGGTTACAACAGAAATATAGACAGTTAAAAAATATTTGTCTACAGATAGCTGCATTTATTGTATTTGCAATCTTACTGGTCATTTCAGTAACTGATGAATCTGTCCAAGAGTCTCTTTTGTGTATTTACCTTAAAATAAGTGCTGGGAAAATCTCTGTTGTGACAAGAGTAATTAATTTTCCACTTGATTTTTAGTTGATAGGAATTATTGCAACTTATATTAAGTTAAAAATTTAAAAGGTATTAATGTGCTAACAGATTCCTAAAATACATTCCAGGTGTAACAAAATTGTCCAACTGTTAGATTAAGCTTTGAACCATTGTATCTTAGAAATGATTAAAGATATCTTACTGGAATTCTCCAAGGTTTTTATAAAACTATTAGACTCTACATTGAACAATAAGAATATATTTAGCTCTAAGTTGAAATGATGATCCCTCTTCCTGTTGGGACCTCCTGATCCAATTTTCCTTTCTACTGTTTCCTCTTTTTAAACTTATTCACTGTTTTCTTGATGGTTCTTGAATGGACTTTGAAGTTGGAAGCCAGAGTATGAATGTTGGTATCATTACTGAAGGCTTGAATGATCTTTTTCCTCTCACCATTGTTCAGTTGATAAGATATAGTGGAGCTGACATAAAATGATTTTAACCTGTTCTCTTTCTAGCTAAATAACTAGAACGATTTTTCTGTGATTCTTACAACAAATGGTGTCAAGATAGCTAAAAGTCTTATGTGAAAACCTGGAAAAAAGAAACTGGATTAGTTTAGTAGTTTTTTAGATATTAAACATTTTGTGGGATGAGCCATTATGTCATGCTGCTACACGATTTCGTCAATTTTGCTGTTACACCTGGTATAATCAATGCAAGAAGCTGGAAGAGAGTTCCACAGGTGAGAAGTACAAGAGGAGAAACTGTTAGAATAGAACTTAGTTATATCTAGCAATTTCAACTGTAAAATGATGGGACCTAGCCGACAATCTAGTACTGCAGTTAAATTTGTAAAGTCTAGGTACAAAAGAGGAAAGCTCATCAAAACAATTAACATGAAAATATTTCTAGAAAAGGCAAAGGGAAGCTACTTTACAGTCGTAGGGAAGTGATTAAAGCTGAGATGCCAGGTCAGGACTAATAGCATTGCAGATTCTTCTTTGGATTTTATCAAGAATTTCTAAATATATATCAGGAGCACCAGACCAGGTGTGGCAGCAATATTCAGTGCATGGACAAATGGTATATTTTATAATTATGGTATAAATTTTGGATTGACTGCAGTGTACTGGGTACACAGCAATATGGCAGTAGGAAGCTTACTTATTATTGGGTAAATAAGGTAGCTCAAAAAATCTGGTAGGCGGGAACTTGCAATAGCGTCCTAAAAGATTAGTTGAATAGTAAAATTTTATTAGGAGAGATTGTGTGAAAATTATAAAACAAACAGTGAAAAAGAAGGTATAATTGTTAATGGGTCATCAGAGGTATGGGGAAGGGAAGAGGTGTTTTTCAGAAATGGGTCAGCTTCTGCGTCAGTCCACCAGCTGAGTGCTGCACATGGTACACATTTGGGCGATCATGTCTCTTTCGATTCATGACTGACTAGGTAGAAGATTTTCTCAGTAGGTTAGCATTTCTTTCTGGAGTAGACTGGTTGCCAACCAAGGCTATAGGACCCAGTCTGTTCGGCTATACAATGCATAGCTGAGAAGAGAAGAGATGGATTCATATTTTTCCCAAGAGTACTTGTGCATAAGTGAATGCAACGAACCCAATGGAATTTGAACTTGGCTCTCCAAATTCTCATTGTAAACCATTATCCATTACGCCACAACACACATGGCCATTATTAAAGAAAATTATTTTTATCCTTTTTTTCCCCCCCCCATATTATTTATTTTGACCATAATATTAATTTTACTATTTTTGTTTAGGAAATTTAATTCAACTCACAGTATTTAGTATTGTTGAAGTTATCACTAAGATTCTTTGTCGAGATTTACAAACCATGTTTCATTCAATTTTGCAAACCAATCAATGAAATTTGAATAAGCTGATTTGTTTGGAAAAATACTTTGACCAAAATCCTACTTACAGGTTTAATAATTTCTTTAATTTAATTTATAGAACTTCATGATAAACAATATTTTTTAAGAAAATTTCTTTTTTACCTTTTTAGCAGTGAATAATAAATTCTTAGAATTTCTTACTCTTGAGCATGCAACATACAACTGGACAAGGGTAAATATTTCTTTCTGGTGCCAAATTCCAACTTTTTCAAGCATTCGTTCTTGTGATTTGTTTATAGTTCTTGCAAATGCAAGGTGAACTGAAAACTGGAGTCGTGTATATATAAAAAGTGAAAGAAAAGATATGCAAAAAATATTGCATTTTTATTAAATAAGTATTTGTTATTTTAATCATTAAATTGCTTGTTTGTATTTTGTATGTTAAATAATAAAACTTTTAATTTCTTGAAAAAAACTAATGAAAATTTATTGTACTAAACTATGCATCCTAGTTAAAAACAATTGTACCTTGTACTCCCTTACCTGTTTGCACTTCTCCCCAAAATTTGGTTTCGATCAGATAATGTACAGCTATTTTATGGACAGACTAACAAAAGTCACAGAATTTTATATACAGATTTAAAAAAAAAGAAAAGAAAAAAGGCTGATAGCTATTAAATGGTAACTGAATCAAAATTTCTTTCATAGAACTCAGACGATGATCACGATACACACACAGCAGTAGGATCTAGGGCTCTGCCAAACCATAGGTGTATATGTTATTTATTTAAAACTACCGTCAGGGTATAAGCTGTGTTATGAAATGTAAAGTGATATCATGTTTATGCTTGGGTTCCATTCCCAAGCCGCACCATTTTATAGATGTTATATACAAATTACACAGCCTGTATTCCAAAATCTGAAAACCGAAGCACTTCTAGTCCCAAGAATTTCGGATAAAAGATTCTCAACCAAAGTCAATTTATTTTATTTCTTTTTTGATTAAAACAGTTACAAATTAGAAAGATATGTTTGTATGATAATGCTTTAAAAGGAAAACATAACAATGAAGCTAAGAATAGGTTAAATGTTTTATAAATAGATTTTTACCTATCACATATGTAAAAGCAGACATCATCATCGGGTTGGAGAAGTTCAATTATGTCAATTGTTGCTCCACAGTTTAGCATCAAAATGTGCTTGATCTAAAATGAAACAAATAGAAATTAATACACAGGCATTTTGCAAAGGCAAAATTAAAATACACAATGGCCTCCCAAGTGAGAACTTCATATGAGATTGTAAAACGAACTGCATATACATCAGACCAAGCAATTGTAGTAGAGTGTGTATGTGTGTGTTCATGCATATATATATTACTCATGTATCATGCGACTTTTGAAGACCTAATTTTGAAGCTAATTTTAAGCGTGTAGCATCATACATGAGAACTATATATCCATTTTTATCCATTTACAGTCGACAAAAAGTACAGCTGTATTTAAAAATATGATATAAAAAAAAAAATGAAATAAAATCAACTGTTTTACTTAACTGTATCCAATAATATTGCATGTAATATTTACATATTAGTATCATATTATAAAATACAAACATTGCTCACATTTGTAAGATATTTAACGCTTTCTCATTAGGTTGTTTATGGCTGTATGCATTTACACAACAAGTATAGCATTATTGACGATACTTTCATCATTCTCTTTTACTTTTTTTTAACTTATTTAACTAGAAGATGGAATAAAGAGATAAAGGAAAAGAGGTCAGTCTATTCTAATTAAGCCTCTCAAAAAAAAAAAAAAAAGAAAAACAAAAGGAATTCACTTGATAAAATCATTTTTTATAAGTGAAAATTTGGGTGGCAAGGGAGATCACATGATATGTGAGATCACACATTATATGAGTATATACAGTATATATAAAAAAAATTAAGCAACTAATGGATTTTTAAAAACCTGAAATTACTTATTATTAGTATAAATACTATATATAGCAAGTACAAAATTTTAAGTTAACATTTGTATTATTTTATTAATTTCACTATTTAAAAAAAAAATAACTCAAATGCATGTACCAACTAAACATAATGTTTATAGTAATAAGAAATGCACAGATGCATCAACAAAAATTAGAATTGAAGAGCACTGAGAAAAAAAAAACTATCTAGATTCGGTTTGGTTTACGGCATATCAACTTCAATGGGTCATTTAATGCCGACAACTTTTTTTTTCCTAGTAATATTTTTGTTTTGTCAAAAATCTATTTCGAGTAATATTTTTTTCCTCAAAATTGTATTGCTGGTAATTTTTTTTTTTTCAAAAACGTATTGCCGGTAACATTCTTTTTTTTTTTTTTTCAAAGACGTATTGCCACTAACATTCTTTTTTTTTTCAAAGACGTATTGCTGATAATATTTGTTTTTTTTCCAAAATATATTGCCGGTAATATTCTTTTTTTCAAAATCGGTTTGCCGGTAATATTCTTTTTTTCTCAAAACATATTGTCGGTAATATTCTTTTTTTTTTTTTTTTCCAAAAAACATATTGCCGGTAATATTTCTTTTTTTTTTTTTTTTTTTCCAAAAAACATATTGATGGTAATAGCTTTTTTTTTCAAAAAACGTATTGCCGGTAATAGTTTGTTTTTTTAAAAACATATTGCTGCTAATAGTTTTTTTTCTTCAAAAATTTATTTCTGGGAATAATTTTTTATAAAGTATTTCTGGTATTAAAACCTATTTTTACACTTTCAAAATGCTTTTTACATCAGTTTCGAGGTTAACTCTTTGCCATAGCTGGGACCCTAACAGATGCTACCACCCCGGGTCAGTGTGGACCTGAGAACACCAGCAATTAAGAGGTGGTTCCACACTCCTCAAAGCCTCTTGATCACCTGTTGGACGTAGTTTATCATCTTACCCTGGATGCGGATGTAGTTTATCATCATACCCAAAATCTATCTGGAATAAAACCATTAAATCAGCCATGACAGACTATATATAGAAGAAGAATAATCATTTTGAAATGAGGTCAAATAATAGATAGTGAATAATACAAAAAATGTGAAAGAATAGCTAAAGTGAAGCAACTAATGTTATTACATGTCGAGTTAGCACAGATAATGTGATCTATGGGAGAAAGATTTATTCTCCCATTTGCGTCTCTCATTATGGGCATTATTATAACCATGATGTAATGACTGTATTTTATGGACAGAATGGAAAAACTGAAAGAAAAATATGACAGAAACCTTTGTTCTTAGAGAGAGTTTTATATCACTAAGTTATACACAAAATTATATACACATATTTACACATGTCCCACACAGAGAAAACATAACGTATATCTACACAAAAAGCAAAGTAAAAAGGAGAATAAAAAGATAGGGTCTTACATACAATATGGAGATTTGTGTGTGTTTCTGGAGAAGTCATATTTAGGATTCCAGATTTGAGCAGGAGAGATACATCTTCAAGGAAATATTCCGCAAACAGGGAAATGGTGAGGCCTTGATTTTCCCCAACATGAGGAGGCAGATTTAACCTCAGCCAAAACCCAACTCCACCTCCTAAAAATAGACTGCTCTGTTTGATTCCTGGAAGCTGACTGACTAACCACTTTTGTCACTGTATGAACCTATGTAATTAAGTGGCCATCACATGACTTCATTTCTACCAAAGGGAGATAATCGCCTTTTGTATCACTACACAGCCATTAAGATTAATACCATACTGGAGACACCGCTTATGAAGACTAAAAGAATAAGGGTTATTATGTTTGTAGATCCAAGGTCACTGATAAAGAAATTTTTTAAATTTTCCATAAATTCTACACAAAAATAGATATATTTTGACCCCCTACTGATTCACTTGCTTTTTTTTTTTGTTTTTTGAGTTTGACAACCCAGTTTTGTTACCTAGAAATATGCCTTTTTTTTTTTTTTTTTTTTAAAGGTAAAGTGGATGTTAAGACCCCTCCTCTGCAAAAATAGGTTGTTTTTTAATGTTCACTTTGGTCAGCAATAATTCATAAGTATTTTAGAAGCGTCATCTAAATTAGTAATGGGTGAAATCAACACAATGGATGGAAAAGTGCTTATAAAAGATTTATGTAATGTGTGCCTTTAAACTTGGGACAAAAACAGTAGAAACAGCCTAACAGGTCCTGCATTTGGTGAAGTTAATTTTGCTCAAAAGCGATCCAGAATGTTGTCAACAGGAAATAACTTAGCTGAAGAGGTATTTTCATAAATGACTGACAATAAGCACTGCTGTTAATACAATGGAGACATTTTTTTTATCATTATAATCAATTAGCCCCAAGTAGGGCGATAATGCCATTAAGATGCAAGGGGCTATTGGGAGTGAAAGAGAATGAAAAAATTTTAAAGGAACCAGAAACCCGATCCTAAACAAGAATCAATGGATAAACCTCTAGTCATATTTCTATGTAACAAAACTGGGTTGTTCAAAAGACTGAAGAAGAGTATGAACTGGGTGATAGACAGACCTATAAGAGTGTGCTATTTTAATAGAAGTACTTATATATGTAAGAAAAGAAACATAGAAATTATATTTTAATCATCTCGAAATTTTCAGAGGGCGCATATTTGTCATTAATAAAATTTCTCCAATACTCAGTCCAGTAGACAAAAATAAATAAACTGTTTAATAAATAAATGAAGTGTCTACTCAAATACATGTATCAACTAAAAAATAACAATTAAAGTAATAAAACCTGTCAGATTATTAAATAAAAATCCATTACTTCTTTAGAAAATTAATAATATTCTTTCTATAAAGGAATAACATCTAGAGCACAATTCTCGATTTCTGATAAAAGTTACTCTGAGCACGAAAATGAATTAATAAGCATATTTCTATGTAAAATTATTCAGGATGATTGGCCATAGTTAAGTGTAATTGACAAATTTCTCAACAAGCGGAATTGACAAAGTTCTCAATAAACAATAAGAAAAAGAATGGCAAAATAAGTTAGAATTTATTCTATTGAAAGAGAAGGACTTACCCCTTCAGAGTTTTCTAGAAATGAATTCTCTAAGTCTTGTTTGCCTGTGACAGGAACAACTGTGTAAAGAACTTGATCACATTGGAATAAATACTGAAAAAAAAAAAAAAAAAAAAAAAAAAACATATTATTTGTTTGATTTGTATTTTATGGTTTATCAACCCTTTATAAGTTATTTAAAGCTGAAACATTTTTGGACTGTAAGAATAATAATAGTGAATATAGCATTAAGAGTTTCTTTTTTTTTTGAGAATAACAATTTTTACAGATTCAAGTCCTATTTAACCCATAGATAGGGAAGGAGACAGATTCACACCTTTCTCAAGAGTATCTGTGCATAAGTGAATATGACTGGAATTTGAATTCAGCTTTCCAAATTCTAATTTCAAATTGTTATCCATTAAACACATATACAAGACCATGTTGAACCTCACTATTTGTCTAGGCTTAAATATTTTTGCTTAAGAAGTACGACTTAAGATAAACTTTTCCAAAACTTTGATGTGGAACAAGAATGAGAGAATATCATGGCACCCACTCTGAATCCATCATAAAATTTCAGAATAGGGAACTGAAAATTCTAAACACTTCCAATACTTCATTGTCAGAATCAGTTGTAACAGATTTAGTATAGGAGATAAAGAAGTTGCACTAGAGGTACTTTTGTCCAACATTGCATGATGTTAAAAATTCAAAATATCATCCTGAAAACTAGAGTCATGTTCTTAAGTAGCCTCATCAGATCAAGACTCTCATACAGATGTCACACATAGCATCAAACTATTAGCTATATATGACTTTCTCAGATCAATTGAAAAATGGCTTGAAGCAAATGAATACTTTATGTCATAAAAGACAGTCTTTCATAAGACGAGACTGGTGCTACAAAATTATAAAGAGCTCTTTCCCAAACAGAATCCACATCACTTGATTTCCAAAAACAGATGCAAGTAGAAGGGAGGAGTAATGAACCATTAACAAACAACATACATGTGTTATGTTTTCTGCTTATCATAAACTAAATTGAAAATACAAAGGAGAATTTAAAAAAAATGATAGATATGGAAAATTTAGTCATAATGCAAGGCAAGTACAGTCAACGACAAAATTATTTGTACACCCATCAATTTTGAATATTTCTATCCATTTTTCAGAATCTAACGCCCATATGATGCCAGTTTTTTTTATATGTTAAGAAACACAAAAATAAATAATATATATATATATATTCATTGCTTAACGCTGGAAGACTGACCACAATGCTGTGCAATTGACTGATTGTTCTAAGGCCACTGGTCATGTTAGAATAAGTGTGAGAGAGAAAGAAAATAGAGATTATTATTCTGAGAGATGGATAAAAATATTCAAAATTGATGGGTTTATTAATAATTTCGTTGTTGACTGTAATTCTGAATGAAAAATGTTGGTAAACCCTTTAAAAAGTTTTTTTATTGTGAATAGTAGTAGTGCAAAGATGTCGACAGGTGTACATCCTGGGACCAACACATAAAAATCTTAAAGGGTGCAATATCCTCTTAAACTCCCCACTTCTCACACTGATACCTCACACCAATCCTTTCAGTGAGCATTAATAACTTTCCAGTCTTTCTCATCAAATTACCTCTGCCCATCACCACTGCTACCACTCGACAAATGGCATCTCGGCCGTGCGGGCGTGGCTAAGCTGGCCTCATTAAAATTATCACCTAGAATTTTTTTGTTTACAAAATTCTCTTTCCCACTGGCCAAAATTCTTACAAATAACACATGTCCACTTAAAATCTCTAAGACCTTTTGGTCACTTTTTCTCTTCTTAACCAGTACTTTTACAAATATCAATCGTCAAAGTCTGCTATCTGGTCCCTTCATGAAGTTAGCATGGCTTCTTGAGAAAAAAAATAAATTGATTATAAATTTCTTTATCTCAAATTCTTGGCAACACATGGTTCTTCGGTACTTAAAATGATATTTTCTCTACCCATATCGAAAAAAATGCTTCGAATATTTTCTCATGACAAAATTTTATAATTAACATACATGGTCACTTAAAATGAACTTGTTCTCAGGTTTCTTTAACCAGTACTTTTACAAACATCATTGATCAACTGTCAAAACCTTGTATATAGCCTTTTTTGTGAGTCCACTCTTTACGCCCAATTCTCAGGTAGGAAAAGAAACTATTTTTAAAAAAAATAAAATTCACGGGGGTTCTCAGTATTTTCTTGTTTAAATGGTTAATTAGTTAATTTACCATAGCTAAATAGTGTCACATCCTTAGTGAGATACCAAAGTTTAACTTTGTCAAAGCAGAAATAGACTTAAGTGACAAACCGTATTTTTTTTTATTTATCTTGAAAAGCATTTGTTGTTAAAATCACGGCCGTAATATTGAAATAAAACTGTGGAACATAGCAAACACCAGTATCTTTGCATGCAGATGACCATTGATGTTGCCACAGCTTGTGCAGTGACATGTGGAAATGCATCATCACAGTATAAAGTTCTTGTAGTTGAGGTAGGCTGTATATTGAAGTGTAAAACTGTAAATGATCTTGTATACTAAAATAGCACCTGTTTTAACATATCCATTTTTTGTACTTTTGAACAAACATCACTGAAATGTTTATTAATCAATGCCTGTCAAAAAATGTGCAAGTGGTTATTATTAAATTGGCAGTCCAAATTTTTTGTTGTGACTTCACCACTCTTTCATGAACCCATCTTCTCCCCTGAACTTTTGGTAAAACAGTAGGGTAGACTGAGCTCTTAAGCTTTGGTTGGCAACTAGTCTTATTTTTGAAAAAGGCAACAAGCAACCATTTCACTACTTTTCCTAAATTTATGATTAAAATAATAAAATTCGTGCTCATTTATATTCTTTTATAAAATGCAAAGTTCTCAAGAACAAATTTTAGAGTTGTTTACATTGTTTTTTTTTTATGGTTAGCAAAAAAAAAATTATGTAGTTTTTTTTTTTTTTACCCTTTTAATTTCCTTAGCTTTAGCTAAATTTAAAAGTCGCAATATTTAATATTTTTAAAGGATTTATTATAGCTCAACAAAAATAGAGTATTGTCAGAAAAGATGACTGCTTTTATCAGTCTTGTGTCCCTCCAAAGACTTAAACTGAAATATGAAGCCAGATTTTGTCAACCTCCCACCCACACACTTTCTTAAAACAAAGGACAGGGGAATATCACGTTTCTGTGTAGCACACACAACCATTTTGATCATTTACATAGTAGTTTTAAAAGGGTTTATTCACATCGCTATAGTGTTGCAAGCTTGGAATTGATTTGACTCTAGTCTGGCTGAAACCATTGAAAAGGATTTTCAGTGCAAGTGAGATAAACATATGGAGGACTTTTGCTACTGAAAGGGATTAATTAGGAAAGGAGAAATATTAGTTGAATAAAGTCATGCTTCCATACAACTGATCAGTCGCAGACATTTAATCTGATGAACAAACATTTACTAAAAATGTAAATTTGCCATATATGGACAGGAGCTGCCCAATCTGCAATTCCCAATCTCAATAGAATTCAAAAATGTTTCCGTGCCCTTGTGGGTGACAAATTATTTTCCATCCTACAACCCCTTTCCCACAGATGAAACATAAATCCCTCACTGCTTTATTGCTATTTCCATTAGGGCTGTGGAGTTTGAGTTAGAATCATGGAATCTGAGTTGGAAGCAATTAAGGTGTCACTGGAGTTGAAGTTGGTAAAACTATACAGACTCCAGTTGAATTTACACTTTATGTAAAAAGTCTTACATTATAGAATTTTTATTGTTACTTCTTCAACTGTATGTTTACTATTTCCTTTAAAAAAAATTAATCTCAACTTCCATTTTAACATCATTTTATTTTTGTGTAGTTATTTTGTATTTGCAAAACTATATATGTAAAAAAATCTTACATTAAAAATTTTAATTTTTTGTTTTTTACATCCTGTAAATGTATTTTATTTTGTTTGCTACAGTGTCAGATATAAAAATGGACCGGAGAAGAATTATAGTAGTTTTATTTTTGTTTTCTATTTTATATACATTACTTAATTTGGGACCAGAGTATATTTACAAATATATATATATATAAATATATATATAAAAAGTCTTACATTATAGCATTTTTATTTTATTGTTATTACTTCTATATCCTTTCAAAGATTTTGTCTCTAATTCTGTTAGAAAATACTGAAGAATAAATGATATAAAAGCCACAATATCTTTATTCTTTGATATAAACCAGTTATAATGATATAAGCTTACTCAAGTTAGGAGCGTATGCATAGGCTTTATGAGATTTGTAGGCCATAATCACTTAATTACAAAAAGAGGAGTCACAGTCAGAGGTGCCAAAAATAGAGGAGTCGAAGTCGGAGTTGGAGTCAAAGTTTTTGTGTTCCGACTCCACAGCCCTGATTTCCGTGGAAACTGGATGAACTACATTTCTTAGTTCTACCAGCTCTAAACTTCTGGGCTAAGACCCACCCTGCCACACCTATTCTGGTGAACCACCCTCATTCCCTTCGTATTCCTTTGATGTGATGTAAGTCCCACTCAAGCAGCTTCATCACATGAACTACTGCTTTGTGGAACTGACTCCCAAGAGGATCCTTCTCTGATCACTACACTGGACTTGTTCAAGTCTTGTGTTAACTGTTATCTTCCCCACATATCCCCATAAACTCTGCCTGCTACTCTGTAACCCTCTACCTCGATTGGCTCTTGAGCCTTGCACAGGGTGAATATCATTGTTAAAATACAACTGGTCTCATTGATTAGTCTCCAGGCTGTATTTTGTGTAGGTGTTATTTATATCTTGAAGATATAGTTTAATAAAAGAAAAAAATCCTTAATAAGGAATTAAAAAAATCTTGAGCTCTGTTCAAGAATACACTTACCTGTAGAATGTTGCAAGCACACAATGCATCCACATCGAATGTTACCAAGATAAGAACTCTCTGAAATAATAAAGAATTCGAAATTATTTATTAGGAGGCAATCTATCAGAAATTGTGAGATAAGGCAAGTAGAATAGCAAAGTAAAACTAGAGACCCCCTCCCCACAAAAAAACAAAAAAACAAGTGGACCGTTTGACAGCTTATTTTAGATTGAGAGTATGGTAAAAAATAATTTCATTTGCTTAAAACCTTTGGTATCGCAAATCTGTGAAGGCACTTAATTGAGAGTATGTTTGAATAAAATAAATAAATATTATACTTACAATACTTACAAGTATTTACTTTTTAAATCATAAAATTAAGTTAATCCAAAGGTAAAAAGTAAAAAATTCTGTTTTCAGTATAGAAATTTTGTCTTTGCTTCATTATAATACTTATTAAGAAAGTGTAACAATATATAAATGTTACTAAAACAAGAAAATTAATTAAAATTTTGGAAAAAATATACGTAAATATATAATGTCACCATGTGGGATAGGAAAAAAAAAGATAAAACAAAAAGGCAAAATTTTTGTTTTGCTCATAACTTTTTTTTTTTTTTTTAAATTAAATCAAACAAACTTCTGTAAAACTTGGTTCCTAAATACTGTAAACTGTTGGGATATAGTTTGTATTCCATTGATAAGGAGGAAGTTCCACACAGCTTCAACGTCAGAACTGTATTAAAAAATTACCGACTTTACCCTTTGATGTCTGTTAAATAAGTAATTTAGGAAAGGCGAACATATTATTAGGTTGGTGCGAAAATAATGACATAATAATGTCGTTTTTTGACTTTAAAAAATAAGTTAAAAACGACATTATTACGTCATTATTTTTGCACCAACCTAATAACAAATAAAAATGGCAGTTGACAAATCTAATTGTTAGAAATAAGAAAATTTCCATTTCAAAATCGTGATTTCCGTTTCAAGTAGGCCATTCCATTTTTACAGAAAATAAGCCCCTCTATATAAGCAATCCATTGTTAAAGATGCTGGAAAAATGGTCAGTTCTTTGTACTGCTTCAGTAAGTACCTGACATCTCCCGCCATGCTCAAACTTTACAAGAGTCATTTCAAACCAAAAATGGAGTATTGCTTTCATATCTTTACTGTTCAGCCTTGATAGAGTTCAAAAGAATTTTTGCAGCCTTGTGGGTGATGAATTATTTTCCATCCTACAACTCCTTTCCCCACAGACAAAAAGATACTAGCCTCTCACTATCCTATTGCTATTTTCATGCTATATTCATATGGACTACATTCCTTAGTCCCACCAGTTCAGATTGCCTCAGCTTAGACCCACTATGCCACATACACAGGATAAACACATCCTCATTCTTTTTGTATTTCATTCATAACGAAGAAGTTCCATTCACATTCTCTCCCAGAATGGTTACAGATTCCCTAAAGGATGTTTCCCTGATCCTTATTTAACCTCTTCAAGTCCAGGATCAATAGTTATCTATCTTATATATATATATACTTACGTGTGTGTGTGGTGTCTGTTGGTTTTGAAAAACCTGGGATCTGTGCCCAAAGAGTTATGCCTCAGCTGTTGACAGAAGTGAAGCATCTGTTATGGCTGTACAGGCCCACATGGAAGTGACAGTCTCAATAGCAATGAATGCATATGAAGATGACTTTCCGTGATATCACCTTGTTTTCTTTCTGTCGAGCACACTTCACCCCAGTGGCAAGCTTTCATTTCTTCTCGCCTCACTCAAGCCATCGGTGTAAATTGCATCTCATTATCATAATAATAGATACTATTTCTCGTTTTACACTCTTACAAGAAGCTAATTCAGTAACCCTTTACCTTGATTGGCTGTTAGGCTTTGCCCTGAATAAACAACAGTATTAAAAAAACCAAAAAGAAATTCATTTTTCACAGTAAATGGAGATGCAGAACTTCAGAATATAGTGGGGTTGATTTACCAGTTTATTCCAAAGAAATTCAACATCAAGATAAGGGCTGTTGAAATGTTATTGACTTGACACATTTCCCTAAATCTGATCAAATGACCAAGCAAGGCTGTGGAGATGGAACACAAAACCTTCAACTCAGACTCCTCTATTTTTGGCACCTCTGACTGTGACTCCTCTTTTTGTAATTAAGTGATTATGGCCTACAAATCTCAAAGCCTATGCATACACTCCTAACTTGAGTAGGCCTACATCATTATAACTGGTTTATATCAAAGAATAAAGATATTGTGGCTGTTATATCATACCTATTCATTCTTCAGTATTTTCTAACAGAATTAGAGACAAAACTTTTGAAGGATATAGAAGAAATAACAATAAAATTAAAAACGCTATAATGTAAGTTTTTACATTATATATATATATATATATATATATATATATATATATATATATATATATATATATATATAATGAATTTGTAGGTCTGATGAATTGATCGTATTTATGATTCCAATGGAATAAATTATGACCATGGAATATTAGTGTTTAAGCCTTTTTATTATATCCTTACTCTGTCCTGGACATTTATGTGTATATTTACCACTAATATTATATATATATATTTCCAAAGAAGAAATAAGTACAAAAAAAAAAAGAAAGATATAAAACTACTTTATAACAGAAGTTTAAATATAATTTTTGCAGGATGTAAAAGAAATAAAAATACAAATACTGTAAGATTTTTTTTTACATATATATTTTTGCAAATACAAAATAACTACAAAAAATAAAATGACTAAAAAAGAAGTTGAGATTAATTTTTTTAAAGGATATACTAAATATACAGTAGAAGAAATAACAATAAAATAAACATTCTATAATATAAGACTTTTTACATAAAGTGTAAATTCAACATGAGTCAATGTCAACTAATTCCAGTGACACCTTAATTGCTTCTGACTCCAACTCCACAGCCCTGTGATCAAGCATTAGTCATTTTAAAATCCATTCTTGGTGGGGATTTTCTACAACCTTTCATAACTGCTACAATCATGAACACAAGTCCTGTATCCCTTTTGAGTCATAGGGAGCTGTCACAATAAAAGTAGGGTGTGTCTTGGGCAAGATGCCCAACTTTCTCCAGGCTGATTTGAAGTGAGAGTTTTCCTTCTCCTACAACCATTGCCACCCAAGGCTATAGAACCCAGTCTGTCCTGCTATTTACTCATAGCTGAGGGGAGAAGAGATGAAGTCACATCTTTCCCAAGGGTAATCAACTCGACCATAATTCAAATTTGGCTCCCTGATTCCTCAATCTCAGATGCTAACCATTATTCCACCTGCTGTATATTTTATCAAATAGCAAAATAGGGTTGGGGGAAATTAAAACAATTTATAAACCAAAGTTTTAATGCATTGGTTTAAGAAAAAACTTTATTTTATTCGAACAAATAAGTTTCAATTTATGCAGTTCCACCCTTGTGCAAATTAATTGAAACAAAACAAATAATTCCGTTATTATTTACTTCTTTTTTTTTGTATTTTTTCCAATGAAACATCACCCAGTGCACATATTAGTACATCATATATCCATTCCATAAAATCATTCCTTGCAGATTGATCACAGATTCTTGACTGGATTTAAGTCAGGAGTTTCTGGGCCAGTCTATAAGTACTTTGATTTGCTCGCTGGTAAAGCTTGCCAGTGTGTTTGTGTAGTGTTACAATTTTCATACACTTCCTTGAAGTAATGTCCTTTGCAGACAATGGCCATAAGACAACTAATCGACAGTTGAGACAATAGTGTCTACCCGTGATGAAAATCTGATGCAATCATGGATGATGCAGTATTTTTCAAGGCCAAACAAATTTCATCACACACCCTAAAAATAGATTCATATTACTGCACAGTACTGCAAATGACCTAAACTGAGGAAAAAATAGAAATTGATTAACCCTGTCACTACAGTAGGTCAAAAACTGGAGGTGAAAGAAAGGAAACTAAAGCAATTGTTGCAATTAATTTGCACAACGGTGTAAATTTAAAATTTAGATTTTTTTTTTTCTAAATTCTTTCATGCTTTATTTAGTAAAAGATTAATTAGGATATATCAATAACATCATATTTATTTACCTTCCTAGTTTTTATTATTATAAAAGCTATTTTAGTGGGTAGAAGCTTAATGATGATGATGATAATGATAATAAGGCCAGGTTAAAAAAAAATCCATTAACTGCTCAAACTATCTATCTTTGCATGTAATATGTACTAAAAAAAAAAAAAAAAAAAAACTTCACCCACTTCTAAAAATTCATAGGGGTAAAGGGGTATTTCTTTATGTTTTTCTTTCATTATCATTCATTCCACTTTCATTTTCTCTACCTTTCTTGTTTACCCTCCAACTTTCCTCGTTCTTTACCTATCCCATTTTCTCAATTCTGTTATTGAGTGGAAATGAACAAATACGCAATATATGTGCCTGTAACACTTTATTTCTTTTATGTGCCATGTCCCTACACAACATGGGCTATCATGGATTTCCACAACTTCCTAATCTTTGTAGCTCTTAGTAATGTTTGCCTTTTTTACTGTCCTTCCTCCTCCCATCAATTTACACAATCTCAGTAGCTAGGTTATTCGCTGTTTCCCTCAGTCTTGAGTTTAACATATCCTGTGAGTGTCAAATTCTCCAAGTCCTCTTTCTTCATTATATGTCCCAGAAATTTCACTTCTTTGGTTCTAGGTATAACTTCAAGACTAAGAGTCTTTTTGATTCCATTTGACTTAAAACTTCCTCATTGCTCATATAACCAGTCCATGACATAATTCTCAGAATCCTTCTAGAACCACAATTCTGTTGCCTCCAGTCTTCTTCTCATCTGTGAGCAAATTCTCCAGCATTCACTTTCTTGGAGGTTTGATAATTATTCAATTATAAATGTTCTGCACTCTTACAGGAAATATAGTGGCAAATAATATTATTATTTATTTATATAATTATAATATTTAATATTTATTATTATTTTACTAGCATAATACACGTCAATTTTTTTAAAAATTGTATTTAAAATACGATTGACAAAAATTTATAAATGTTTTTGTTTGTTTAATAATTCCAAATAACTGTAGCAATGATGATTAATTAAAATTTCAATTCAATTCTTATGAAGGAAATATGAAAAAATTAGCATAAATTTCTGTTAAAATACCATGATATATACAGTGGCTATACACTGACAGTCACTTAAAAAAGCAAAGCACTGAAGCTGGTGGCTTGCAGTTCGAACAGCATAGTTAATTTACGATTGTTTAGTTTACCTTAGCATTTTAATCAGAATTAACCAGAACCATTTTAATAAATTTCTGGACTGTTGATTAATTTAATTGCTTTTTTATCTTAATTAATTAACTGCAGTGACTTTGTTTATTTCCACCCTGTATATTTTCCACTCAATATTGATGTTTTTTAGCTCGTTTGATCTCCTTGTGTTTGTATAATTTTGACGATAAAACTGTTTTTTATTACGTTTGCTTTTGTTTTTTGGAGAATGTTTTCATTAGGGTAGGTTGATTTTTTAGCGATTTCGTGAAGGTACACGTTAAAAAATGAGCACAAATTTAAAAAAAGACGAAAAACAAAGAAACTCGTTCCTGCATAAAAACAATCAGAAGATTGTTTTAAAAATGTATTGTAAACATTAACAAGTTTCTTAAAAATTAAAATAAATAGATTTGTTAAACTAAAAAGGACAGAAATATAATAAAAATTGGGTAATTTAAAAAAAAGAAAGGTTTTTTTTTTTTTTAGTTGATTTTAAAATTAAAAATGAGAAAATAAAATAAATAATTATTCAAACATAAAAATCTGAAGATAAAATAAAAATTTAAAATTATAATAAAATTTATGATTTTTATGATTTATTTTAAAATTCATTGGATACGAAGAAAGACGTGGACTGAAGGACGATGAAATTTGCACAAATTAAATTTTATGGAAAAAAACAAAACAATTTCTGGGAGATGACAATAAAAGAAAGCAAAACAAAAAATTAAAGGAAAATTTCGTTGATAATTCGAGATTTAAAAAAAAAATATGTTTGGCGAAATTAAATTTTTTAATGGTTTTCTTTTTTTTCTCCCATTTTAAAAAGCAATTAAAATTTGATTTTCGATTATTATTCATAATTCTGGATATATAATATTTGTTTTTGATTTTATGCTGCTGATTCCTCACAAGGATCAAAACATCTCATTTTTTTTTTAAATCACTAGTGGTTTACGAAAACGAAACTTAGATTTACCACAAGGGCAAAATTAAAGAGCACCCACTGATAAGTTTTCTTTTTTTTTTTTCTTTATTATATTTTCATATATTTATAATATAAATTTTATATTAATTAAAAAAAATTAAAATTACTAATTTCAATAACACATTCATATATTTAAGAACAGAAAAATATACTTTGTTTTTCTATTTTCTCATAATCTTTTTTGTTTGACTTTTTTGTTAGAGTTTTGATATCCGTAATTTATTTTCGTTTTTTTTTTTTTTTTTTGGGTCAGGGTACAATTTTTCCCCCCAATATTAGTCATTGTTTGTTTATTTAAAGTTTAAAAAAATTTTCTTTTATTTATTTATTTATTTTTTGTTGTTGTGAGAAACGATATTTGTCAAAAGAATTTACAAATCAGACTGAAAAAGAAAGGCTGATCATTGTTTAAAATTAAAAATAAAAATAATTATCAAAAACAAACTCCAGAAACAAACAAAAAATGAAGAATTAAAGAAATAATTAATTCTTTAATATTACCTGATGCTGAATCTTATCGTAAAATTCCTTTTTAGGGTCTTTAACCAACATATTTCTGGTTAATAAATAAACAAATATACATAGAAATTATTTTAAAACTTTCTTCCTAACACGCCGCACTCGAAATTTGTTTCTGGCGCTCATGCGATTCTCTTTTTGTAACGACTTTTTTGATTGGTTGGCTCTAACCCACCTTACGGATCGCGCTTACAAACATTTATGGTAAAATTTCAACATAAAAATGATTTAAAAACATTTCAATCGGTATTAAATACAATTTAACTTCTCTCAAAACTCATTGAAAGGGGAAAACAATTTAAATATATTAAAAATGTGTTCTTCATTTAAAGCAGATGTGTGTAAGAATTGGCCAATAGAAATATGTGTTACAACCAGGTTGAGAGCTTTTAAAAAAAAGATAAAAGAAAAAATTAGCTGTTAAAGGGGAAAAACTCTTTATACTAAATTAGTTATCTCCCTTGAAAAACCGAAACCAACGAAAACAGATAAAACTTTTTCAAGGATTTAACATTTTTAACGATGGTAAGCAAGCCAGCTTTAACATTTTTATTGCTAGTATTCCATCCTTACTAGGTGCAGCTGTGACTTGTTCCGAGACTAAGCTTGGATTAGTAATTTGGTACTTGTTTTATACTGTTTTTTAGTAAGCTATATACAAATTTTATTTTAATTGTATTGTGGTTTACACTTTTTTATAAAAATTTTATTACCTACCAGATCTAAGTTCTTGTGTCCAACTCTTAGTCAAAGAGCGACAACTTTGTAGGAATCACAGTAAGTCGAGAACAATACTTCGGATTTAATACAAAAACAGAACTGTTTAATTTTTGCCGCAATTACAATAATACTTAAGCACGCTTTTGTTGGGGACGTACAGAATTTATTAATTATGCTTGAAAGAATCAGAAGGAATTTGTGTAGGTTGCGTGACTTTCTGCATCCACAACAAATAAGTAAACGAAATTTAAAATACGATTAAGAACGAGACATATTCAATTAGAAATTAACATTTACTATTCAAAAACAATATACAAACAGGATAATTGATATATGTTATGTTGGCGAAATGTATATGAGTTTTTTTTATTATTTCAGAATGTCTCTGTAATTGTTCGTTCATTTACAGTCTTTTTAAGTTTGTGTTGAATTGTCGATATTAAGTGTCTTTTTTAGAAGGAGTTTTTAAAAGTGATCTACCTTTAACTGTAATGTAATGTTTTTTTTTAAGGTCGTTCGTACGTTGATGTTTACTTAATAGGTAGCGAATATGATTTGTTGCAGACCCGGCAGCGTGCAGTGCTGGTTTATTACTAAGTGGCCTTGTGCCAGCACCACACTAAACTACCGAGCCTACAAGCAAAGTAAAAATAAGTAAAATGCGTGAATGAACAATGAGAGGAAAGGGGTCAATCAACAAGTGCATAAATAAATGGTATTAAGATAGCCGAAATAAAAATGCCAAAGACATCTGTTTATAAAAACATGAGTAAACTTTAATCAAACAGTAACACGTAACTCATCCCAAGGTCGGGATCAATGAAAAATGTTCCGCGCCAAAATAGAAATACAAGATGGCCAAAGGCGGGAAAAGGAAGTTTTATACAGTTCCGGAAAAAGAATGTGCGCACAGATAGAAAGGAGTACTCACTGTGGATATTTTAAGTTGTAAGTGATTATGCATATTTTTAATGTACAGGTTCAAAGCTATAAAGAATGACCGGTCGTCTCAGAGTTTTTTTTGGTGAAACATTGAATTGACCGCTGGTAAATGTTCTGGACTGCTGTGGGCATCTAGCCGGGAGAAACGAAGCATGGTCTTGTAGAATGATTTACGGCGAGCCCAAAGAGAAAGACGAAAAATGTTTTTGTTCAAAGGTAATATTGAATTGGCCGCTGGTAAATGTTCTGGACTGCTGGGGGCATCTAGCCGGGAGAAACGAAGCATGGTCTTGTAGAATGGTTTACGGCGAGCCCAAAGAGAAAGACGAAAAATGTTTTTGTTCAAAGGTAATACTATCCCTGCCTGTATTATTTGGTTCGAAGCCAGCATCTTAAGTTTAAGTCACCTGTTGAACACGAAGTTTCTGCCGACGACAGTGTCGTGTGTCTCTAAAAACGTCTTCTGGTAGAAAACGGAGAAAAAGGTCCTGACCTGTGATTAGCAATTTGTTCGTTCAGTAGGACATCCCTGCCTATACTTATTAGGCCCCTGACGAGGGATAAAAATACGCCATTAGTTGAATACGAACTTTTGCTCGCGACAGTGTCGCGTATCTCTAAAACATCTTCTGGTAGAAAACGGAGAAAAAGGTCCGACCTGTTGGCAGCTTCAAAAGGAGAAAAAGTCTTGGTAGAGGGTGCAGTCGACATTGTTGAAATAAGATATTCCGGCCCGCATATGGGTTAAGGGCACGGAATAAATGAGTTGCCCATCCAGTCCGGTCGATAGCTAAGAGGCAACTGGATTGCAAACGTTAGCAGTTTTGAAACGCCGAAAAACGCGCGGGAAAAATTCAAAATCTATCATGAGTTAATCAGTAGCAGCTAAAAGGAGCTTACTGCTATGTTTAGCTGTGAGTGTCTTGAAAGGAAAAAACACGCGCACACACGCACGAGTGTAAAACAAAGGGAGGAAACTCGCGCGCGCGTAAAATTATAAATGGAATTAATGTTAATTCCATAGATTCACTTTAGATAAGCAATGTTGAGAATTGATATCCACAGAGTTGATTCAGTTTTCGATCGGGAATGAGTCAGCGATGATGTATCTTTGTGCGGTTAATCGTGATTTCGAGTGACGTGGCGTATTTTGGCAAGTTCTCTGTGGGTGTTTGTTACTGACTGCCTGGGGCGGTCAGCGTTTATTTTTATAAAGTCTGAAAATCCGAAGGTGGCTCACTTGAGTTTTGGCGCAATTTCGTTCTGCACGTGAACTTTCAGTGATGAACCAATGAGATTGTTTGTTTCGCTTAGTGCAGTTTTAATTGGTTGAAGTTTTCCGTACGTAGGCGTAAGATATAGACTGTTCTGTTGCTAGGGTTGAAAGCTAAGGAAAAAAAGGACGAGTCTACACTTTCTCATCTTCATACGCACAATCATTCAAACCAAAACTTTAATAACGCTACAAACCAAAGAAAACAAAAACTTTGGAACAATTTAAAGTCCTTGAACAACAAATATTTGTACCTTTATTCTGTCATAAATGTGTATTTTTGAACCAATACATTGTTTTTTACATTATTATTTCTCTTGTTGCTTACTCATTTTGTTGCATTTGTGAATTAAAATATGTAGGGATTTGAACATATTCACATTCAACCCTTACAGATTGGTGACCCCGACTAGTCGGAGGTGAGCAGACCCCGACACACAAATGTGCGAAATACGCAACATAAATCAGAGAATAATGTACGAGCTACAGCAAATCAAATGGATACTTCCACTAGTGATCACATGAAAGCAGCTATTACTGTGAAACCACCTGTGTGTAATCAGAACAACCTACTTTCTGGTTTTCTCAATTGAATGCCATATTTAGCGCCAAAAAGATTACCTCGGAGAATACTCGGTATTGTGAAATCTTCCGCATTAGCCTTCCACCCCTTCCGGGAAAATGTATTCTTCCCTAGAAAAAGCCTTAACTAATCACCACTTCGTTTCTGTAAATTCAATCTTCTATTGGTTAAGAGTTAACTGTAGCAAAGTCGAAACAGATCCTTTTTCCCGCCGAAGCTCCCTGGGGACGATTTTTAAACACCAAAGTCTGTAAAAACAACCGCATGACTCAATTCAAGTCAGTCAGTCATCGAGTTTCATGAGATGCTACCAAACTCCACCCGTGTCAAGTCACTGACTCAACATCACTTCAAAATTCTCAACAAACTCAACACAGCGCTCAATCGGCCATTGTCCGCGTGGTAATCAAATTACAATTGACTTAAAAAGTGAACGTTTTCATTACACAAACAGTAATTGTACAATTCATCGATTTAGTCTATCAATTAAAGGCAAACAACTCTTCACAACTTAAATTCTAACAAGTAGCACACGCATACGCACTAGTATTTGAACGAACACGTTTGAGATTTTTCTTTGCAGAAACCAAATTATTTTAATTTCACTAACAAATCAAAACCATTAACTTTTATTGACCAAATTTCTGCATGAACATTCTTCATAACCTTGTCTCAATTGCCACAATCAACAAACATTCTGTTATTTTTGCATGTATATCTATTGTATATGTAAAAAATCTCTTTATTGTTGGATCTCTAACCACTGTGTTTTTAGTAATTTCTTGCAATGCAAATTGTCCTTATATTCTTTATTTGATCTACGTGTTGTGGGATAATGCATAATAAGCACGCATAATCTTTGCCTTACGTAAATTACCTTCTGATACATTTTCACTCAGCCACAATCCGCAACAGTTTGTTTACGTAGGTACCTCCGTGAAAATCAATAGCATGACAAGAACGGCCTGAAACTTGATGATTTTTTTTTAATCTTAAATGTATATTTCATTATTAAGATGAAATACCAAAGTATTTTTTGATTATTTTTTTAAATTTCTTACTCATTCTTAGCATGTTCGAAATTTTAGTTAAAAATCTTGTTTATTTTTTTGTCAGCGAAATTAATAAAAAACTCATATCAAACATTTTTTTAAAAATTTGTGAACACAATTTACGTGGTGGAAAAACTGCCAGCAAATGTAGCGATGGCTGATCTGTTAACTTATATGGCGGCGGAGAAACCCTATGATACATTAAAAAGCGCAACCATTAACCGTACTACATGACTTGTTTAATAATTTGCACCTCGGACACTAAACCCTCGCTGATACTCCGAAAAATGAAATCGCCCCTGGGTGGTAATGCCATGTCGGAAGTAGTTTTAAGAAAATTATCGATGGATAAGCTACACACCCAAATTACACAAATCCTTGCCTCACTTCCGAACGATCTCGAGTTGCAATGGCTATCTGAAATGGCATACAAAATCCACGATAATATTCCAGGAGGAGCTGT